CAACCAGAAAATGACACCAGTAATGACAAACAGATGAGAATGCTGCGTGGGGTCTGGGTGCCGTGTAGGCGGGACGTTGCGGGGCTCGCTGCTCCGCCCTTTGAGGATCGAGGAGCGGACAGTGTGAGCTACATTACTGGGTTGTGTTCCGATAATCCAAAAATCAGCTCCTAAATTCTAACCCTATCGTCTATTTCTTGACCTCTGAGTGAAACGTCACGGGGTTAAGGGATAGTGGATAGGAGAATTCAAAAGGACTTAGGAGAAGAGACCGCGGTACTTTAGAGAATCGAATGCACTTTCACTATCTGAGTGTTTATGATGCGCCAGCGGACGTCATGAATGTGCGTCTGCTGCTGTGGGGAAACTATGGAAACTAGTTTCTATACAGCGGACTACAACATGGATGTTTAATAAGAACGAGGGACTACTGTAAACTCATCTAGAGACTCTGCTCTGAAGCTGCTGCTTTATGCTTTATGAACGGGGACAACAGAGAAACATATTCTTCAGGACCAAAGTTGGAATTGAAATAAAAAAGGAAAGTGAAGCTTCTGCTCGTCACGAATACAAATGATCCCAATACGTATGATTGATGAAAAGATCTTAAAATCAACACAAATGTATTTATTATAAACGTTAGTCCTTAACATCTATCACTGTGTATATCACCAGTCAAACATCTTTTAAAAGTTGAACAAACCCCACACAGCTCAGTAAAGACTGTGAGATGTTGACTTTATTTGATCATTTCAGTAAAAACTAACGTTCATATTTCTCTCTTTGATTATAATACTGATGAACGTTCAAAACAAAGCACTTTGGCAACTTACCACATACGTTTTAAAATGCTTAATAAGCACCGTAACTTTCATGATATCATTTCTCCGTCATAATCGTTTGTTGACTGTTGTGTGACGGCAAATGCTGCGGCTGCAATGCATTGTGGGGCAGCATTTTCTCCTCTCCTTTCGGTTAGGGAGGTCCAGTGGTTCCTAAGCTAAAGGAGGTTATAAAGGAAGTTTGAAACCTCCTTTCCTATCATCTCGAGAGAATTGGAACGGCACTTATCATGGCTGCTGTTGTGGAAATATTTTCCAAGGCCCATAACTTTGACCCAGTGTATCAGTTCAAACTGTCCTGACTGAGCACAGGCACCTGTAACCTTGGCTGCTGTGCTCTCAGTGTTTTGTCTCCCTGTTCCTGCCTGTTGGCGTCAGCTGATAGAGGTGTTATCATTCTATCTTGTTATGCAGCATGTTGATGATGCTCTCTGAACTAGCTAAATACATGGGTCTGGGGTAGAGTTCTTCAGAATTGACGTGGCAACTCTACCGTGAAGTCAGAACCTCTGACTCTTGGACTTGTGATGTGAATCCTCCGGCCGTTAACTCCAAATAAACCATCATGTGTTTGACATCAAAGCTACTGCTCTTCCCGTGTCTCCTTCCTGAGTCGGTGACTCCCACTGCATAGCTACACAGAAGTTTCCTCTACAGCTGCCACTGAGGGACTTCCGGGTAATTTCACTCGGTTAGGAAGGTTCCTAAGATAAATGGACTATTGGAACGCAACCCTGGTGTCGTTTCCTGGTTGCTGCGTGGGGTCTGCGAGACAGCGAGACACCTCAGAACTCAGCCTGAGCACACACACACACTCACAGCCTGAGAAAACATAAGGCTGAGTGAGTGTGTGTGCCGGCGAAACTCCGCGGAGTAGCGCGGCTGAGAAAATATACGGCTGAGTGACTATGTGAGTGTGAGGAGCTCCACCACGGATTGATCCATTTGGGTCCATTTGGTCGTCGTTACGTCACTGTGACCAGGAAGAAAACAATGGGAAAAGAGAAATCTCCAGCGAGCCGTTCTGGGGCAGCACAGACAGGTCTTCTCTGTGTTAGAGCTTTACTCGCTACAGGGTGTACTTTGAGGGTTTGTGACTCTGCAGACCGTTTACATGCAGAACAACCTTCATAACACAAGGGGACGGGTGATAACCGGAAAACATGTCATGGGACCTTTAACTCATCAGTCCATTCATTTGATAAAACTCCAAAACTGAGCAGATCATCAGGAGAACAAATGAGGCGGACACACTGGGTCCTGCAGATCATACATCTTGAGGACTGAGAGCTTTGTGGGGGTCAGGGTCCTCTCACCCCAGAGATCCTGAGAAAACGCCTCATTTCAGCCCCTGATTAACCTCCATTTCAAGCTTCATAAAGTTCAGCTGAAGCCATACTGCTGTGTCTTGTCCTCTTCTTAACTCCTGAATATAAATCCAACACGGTCAAGTTGATATATCTCATACCTTTCATGTTTAGAAGTACCCAGTGGTGGAAAAAGTACTCAGATCTTTATCGAAAATCGAGGCACACCAGTGTAAATAATTGACACGAAAAGGTATGCAATCTAAACTTTTCTCCATAAGAACAACATTATTACTATTAGAACATTGAGAAGTACCAAAAGCTTAAGTGTTCAATATGCAGAACGGCCCACTCCAGAATAAAGTATATCATACTATTGGATTATAATTATTTATTCATACTTATCCCTTGATGGGTAGCATGGACATTTTCTGTTGGAGATCAATAACAATCTGGCCGTAACTTACAATACAATAACGAAAAAAATATCTACATCCTATTTTATGTTTTAAGAATATTTAGTTGAATCTGAAAGGTGACAAGCCACTAAAGGAAGCAAATACATGAAGTGCAGTCCAAGGTATTTGCCTCGAAGTTGAAGTAAAACAGAATTATAAAGGTATGGAAATACTCAGGAAAACTCACAATTGTGCAGTTCTTGCTTCTCAGTTTCTTCCCATCACTTGACGTACTTAATTAAACCTCAACCAGTAATGATCATCAGCAGCCAATTAATCACAACAGGAAGTCACATGTTGACATTAATTAATAACTAATCTGCCAATCAGGAGCAAACATCCATTAAAGTTCAAGATGTAAAATCAAAAACATCTCAAATAACCGTTTAGTTTTAGCCATTCGGTGAAAGCAGAACGAGTTGTGATCATCTTTTCTTTAAAGTCAACACGCCCACCTTGTTGACAAACAGTTGCTAAATTAAATCTCCAATAATTAAAGAGACATTTCCATTTATTTAGAGTTTTAGGGTCTCCCCCATTTTTGCTCAGTTTTTGGTCTCCACCACCACCTTAGGGAAACATGTGTCTCTTTAGCCTCTAAAGCAGGGGGGTCCAACTCAAACACACAGTGGGCCAACATTAAAAAATGGGTGCTAGTGGAGGGCCGGACTGGTTCAATGTTTATTGCAGAACGTATTGAAATGAACTTATTGCACATATTAAACCTGGAACTAACGAAGCTTCAATGATTGCCTATAAAAACAACATTAAATAATCAGCTGCATTCATTTCTTATGGCTCTATCTGCAGCTTTTCCAGAGTGATTTCTTATGAGTACATTTTCCCACAGGCCAACAACAGCTTCAACAAAACTATTCCCTCAAAGAGAAAACCAAACATGCCCTGTTGTCCTGAGAGAAAGTGCAGAAGGAAGCATCCATTGAACTCAGTGTGCTGCTCTGTGATGCTAGCTCAGATACTTGGCATCTCATCTCGGGTGCAAGGTCATCAATGTTTGGGCTCAGGCTCTGAGCTGAGGAGACCCTCAGGATGGAGTGAAGGTGTGCGTGCAATATACCGGAGGGCCAGATCTAATAGGAATTAGACATTATCCTGCGGGCCGAAATTAAATCCACCACGGGCTTGATTTGGCCCCCGGGCCTTGAGTTTGACACATGTGCTCTAAATGCTTCACTATGTTCACTATAACTGTGTCTGTCTGCTGTATAGTGATCACCGGGTAGTGTAGTCACTTTTTAAAGCTTTCTCACTGCCAACAGATGCCATAAGAGCGGAAAACAGTGATGTTGCAATGCTTAACAAAGAGCTGAAACTAAAGAGCTTCTTACAGTGAAAAGCTGATAATCCTCTGCAGGCTTATCACTAAATGCAACTCCTTTCACACTGGATAGAGATATGGATTATATCTGATTCAAAGGGTGGCCCTGTCTTATCTTTGTGCCCAGAATAAGAATGAGTTTTTGAATTCCTTTAATTTCAACTCCAGGTAAAGCCATTTATATTGCTTTCTGCTGTCCAACGTCCTGCTGTTTTACATCGTTCCCGCTCCGTTTGAGTCGTGCATACAACGAGTCATTTGCAAGGGAAATGATAGATGATGAAATCCATTACTCTGGACTTGTTTTATAAATACCATCAGGCGTCCGCAGCCCAGAGTTTGCAGAGATTAATGGCTGCGTGAAGGTATTCCATTTATCAAAGGAGCTGATAAACTCTCACCACACCACAATGTGTCTCCATGTCGTCTGCAGCTCCAATGTGTGTGTGACCTTGAACAGATGTGCGTGAGACTGTAGGAGAGTTTGTGCATACACTTTGTGTGACTTCAAGTGCAATATTGCCCCCAGATCATCTGTGATGGTTCCCATGTGTGACCCAGCTGGGACAATAGTTTGAACTAATGCGAGCCAGAAAGCTGGGCCTCCTGACGCTGCAGTAATCACACAGATCTGTCTGTAAAGCAGGGTGGCTTTACTTCAGAAAATATGTATTAAACTGCTTCATATCTCCCCGAACTGACGGGATATTTAGCATTTTGTTCAGTGAGTATCACACCATGTCTAATCCTTTGTGTGCCTCTGCATGATATTCTCTTTCAGTGCTCTGCTTGATCCATTATGCATCACAACTCATAGTGTGTTCAAATCCCCAGTGGAGTGGAGCCATTAAGTCTTATTTGACAGATAAGGAAAATGGAGGATTACATCACAGGCAGGTTGTAAGAAAAAGTGCAAATTAAATCAAAGACATCTTCCTCCTTGTGCGTGTGTTGAAACTCAAACAGACAACCTTTAAAGAAGATTCTTGACTTGTCATCCGTAGCAATCACCAATCAATGACACGTTTTGTTAAGAAGCATTTATGCAACTTACCTAAAGCCTGGGCTTCCACACGTAGGCTGAGATTTAACAGCAGATGTGAGGCCAGAATCAGGGCTGTCCAAACACCCATTTTGTCCCTTTTTAGCTGGTCCCAGATCAGCAGTTTCTCTGTAGTAACTGATCACACAGTTTCCTGTATGTCTGCGTTTTCCTCCTTCTTGACTCAGACGTGAGACATGGCTGCTACTGCTGCTGTCTGTCTTGGTCTGAATAGTGTGTGAGGATGTTAGGATCACAGGAGTCTTTCTGAGGGCGGAGCATGAGGGCCACAACCTGCTTCCTCAGACGGCCCCATGCAGAGAAGGAGTGACCTGCAGAAAGTCTTTGCATTGGCTCCTTCTGCTGCTACCATTCCCACAGGCTCTAACACAAATGTGCTGGACGTGAGAAGCTAATGATGCAGAGTAGGAACTCATGTTTGGCAACTGAAGTCATGAATATTTTTAGACCCTTGAGTTCACGCTTGAGGTGAATTCCCCACTTTAGAAAAATGAGACGTCGTTGAGTATTTCTTTGAGAATGTCTGAGACACAGGGAGATTGTTTAACTTTTATAACATGTGACCTCGTTCCCGCAGTAGTGCTAAGAGATTGAGTAGAAATCCCCCCGGAAAGAAATACTCAGTAACATTTCTGTAATCTTAAATGCACTGAAGGAGAAAAGTGTTAGCATGCAATTCTAATTCTTACCATGTGTAGAACTCAGAAAAAAAGTAAATTATATCGTGGATATAATTGTTGATGCAGGAATCAAGCAAAAGTAGAAGTACTTACGGAAAATACTTAGTTTAAATCAATCTGAAAGTACTTAAGAAACCACTTAATGAGTAATGATGATGGAATTTTATAATTATCATCCTCATTTTATAAGCATGTTCAGGTGTATATCAGTTTGTAGTGTCTCTACTTTAAAGAGTCCTCTCCTGCTGATGATCAGGTGTATATCAGTTTGTAGTGTCTCTACTTTAAAGAGTCCTCTCCTGTTGATGTTCAGGTGTATATCAGTATGTAGTGTCTCTACTTTAAAGAGTCCTCTCCTGCTGATGTTCAGGTGTATATCAGTATGGAGTGCCTCTACTTTAAAGAGTCCTCTCCTGCTGATGTTCAGGTGTATATCAGTTTGTAGTGTCTCTACTTTAAAGAGTCCTCTCTTGCTGATGTTCAGGTGTATATCAGTATGTAGTGTCTCTACTTTAAAGAGTCCTCTCCTGCTGATGTTCAGGTGTATATCAGTATGTAGTGTCTCTACTTTAAAGAGTCATCTCCTGCTGATGTTCAGGTGTATATCAGTTTGTAGTGTCTCTACTTTAAAGAGTCCTCTCCTGCTGATGGTCAGGTGTATATCAGTATGTAGTGTCTCTACTTTAAAGAGTCCTCTCCTGCTGATGTTCAGGTGTATATCAGTATGTAGTGTCTCTACTTTAAAGAGTCCTCTCCTGCTGATGTTCAGGTGTATATCAGTATGTAGTGTCTCTACTTTAAAGAGTCCTCTCCTGATGATGTTCAGGTGTATATCAGTATGTAGTGCCTCTACTTTAAAGAGTCCTCTCCTGATGATGTTCAGGTGTATATCAGTATGTAGTGTCTCTACATTAAAGAGTCCTCTCCTGCTGATGTTCAGGTGTATATCAGTATGTAGTGTCTCTACTTTAAAGAGTCCTCTCCTGCTGATGTTCAGGTGTATATCAGTATGTAGTGTCTCTACTTTAAAGAGTCCTCTCCTGATGATGTTCAGGTGTATATCAGTATGTAGTGTTTCTACTTTAAAAGAGTGCTCTCCTGCTGATGTTCAGGTGTATATCAGTATGTAGTGTCTCTACTTTAAAGAGTCCTCTCTCCTGCTGATGTTCAGGTGTATATCAGTATGTAGTGTCTCTACTTTAAAGAGTCCTCTCCTGATGATGTTCAGGTGTATATCAGTATGTAGTGTTTCTACTTTAAAGAGTGCTCTCCTGCTGATGTTCAGGTTGTATATCAGTATGTAGTGTTTTCTAACTTTAAAGAGTCCTCTCCTGCTGATGTTCAGGTGTATATCAGTATGTCGTGTCTCTACTTTAAGAGTCCTCTCCAGCTGATGTTCAGGTGTATATCAGTATGTAGTGGTCTCTACTTTAAAGAGTCCTCTCCTGCTGATGTTCAGGTGTATATCAGTATGTAGTGTCTCTACTTTAAAGAGTCCTCTCCTGCTGATGTTCAGGTGTATATCAGTATGTAGTGTCTCTACTTTAAAGAGTCCTCCTCCTGCTGATGTTCAGGTGTATATCAGTATGTAGTGTCTCTACATTAGAGTCCTCTCCTGCTGATGTTCAGGTGTATATCAGTATGTAGTGTCTCTACTTTAAAGAGTCCTCTCCTGCTGATGTTCAGGTGTATATCAGTATGTAGTGTCTCTACTTTAAAGAGTCCCTCTCCTGCTGATGTTCAGGTGTATATCAGTATGTAGTGTCTCTACATTAAAGAGTCCTCTCCTGCTGATGTTCAGGTGTATATCAGTATGTAGTGTCTCTACTTTAAAGAGTCCTCTCCTGATGATGTTCAGGTGTATATCAGTATGTAGTGTCTCTACTTTAAAGAGTCCTCTTGGCTTTGCAGACCATTACGCAGACCAAAGGCGTTCTTTCATGACACATTTAAAAGGGGGATGTTTTCTCTTTCCTCCTAGGTAGCACCAGAGGTGGGAAGTAGTGGAGTACAAATACTTCGTTACTGTACATTTTTCTGGTATCAGTACTTTACTCCACGACTTATTTTCCTGATGACTTTTTACTTTGACTCCTTACATTTTTAACCCAAATACCTGTACTTTCTACTTCTTACATGTTGAACTCAAATACCTGTACTTTCTACTTCTTACATGTTGAACTCAAATACCTGTACTTTCTACTTCTTACATGTTGAACTCAAATACCTGTACTTTCTACTTCTTACATGTTGAACACAAATACCTGTACTTTCTACTTCTTACATGTTGAACCCAAATACCTGTACTTTCTACTTCTTACATGTTGAACTCAAATACCTGTACTTTCTACTTCTCACATGTTGAACTCAAATACCTGTACTTTCCTACTTCTTACATGTTGAACCAAAGACCTGTACTTTCTACTTCTTACATGTTGAAACACAAAATACCTGTACTTTCTACTTCTTACATGTTGAACCTCAAATACCTGTACTTTCTACTTCTTACATGTTGAACTCAAATACCTGTACTTTCTACTTCTTACATGTTGAACACAAATACCTGTACTTTCTTACTTCTTACATGTTGAACCCAAATACCTGTACTTTCTACTTCTTACATGTTGACACAAATACCTGTACTTTCTACTTCTTACATGTTGAACACAAATACCCTGTACTTTCTACTTCTTACATGTTGAACCACAAATACCTGTAACTTTCTACTTCTTACATGTTGAACCAAATAACTGTACTTTCTACTTCTTACATGTTGAACTCAATACCTGTACTTTCTACTTCTTAACATGTTTTGAATGAACTCAAATACCTGTACTTTCTACTTCTTACATGTTGAACACCAAATACCTGTACTTTCTACTTCTTACATACCTGTACTCTACTTCTTACATGTTGAACAAAATACCTGTACTTTCTACTTCTTACATGTTGAACTCAAATACCTGTACTTTTCTACTTCTTACATGTTGAAACTCAAATACCTGTACTTTCTACTTCTTAACATGTTGAACTCAAATACCTGTACGTTTCTACTTCTTACATGTTGAACTCAAATACCTGTACTTTCTACTTCTTACATGTTGAACACATAATACCTGTACTTTCTACTTCTTACATGTTGAACACAAATACCTGACTTTCTACTTCTTACATGTTGAACTCAAATACCTGTACTTTCTACTTACATGTTGAACTCAAATACCTGTACTTTCTACTTCTACATGTTGAACTCAAATACCTGTACTTTCTACTTCTCTCATGTTGAACCCAAATACCTGTACTTTCTACTTCTTACATGTTGAACTCAAATACCTGTACTTTCTACTTCTTACATGTTGAACTCAAATACCTGTACTTTCTACTTCTCACATGTTGAACCCAAATACCTGTACTTTCTACTTCTTACATGTTGAACTCAAAGACCTGTACTTCTGCTTCTTACATGTTGAAACTCAAATAACTGTACTTTCTACTTCTTACATGTTTGAACTCAAATACCTGTACTTTCTACTTCTACATGTTGAACTCAAATACCTGTACTTTCTACTTCTCACATGTTGAACCCAAATACCTGTACTTTCTACTTCTTACATGTTGAAACTCAAATACCTGTACTTTCTACTTCCTTACATGTTGAACCCAAATACCTGTACTTTCTACTTCTTACATGTTGAACCCAAATACCTGTACTTTCACTTCTTACATGTTGAACACAAATACCTTTGTACTTTTCTATTCTTACATGTTGAACACAAATACCTGTACTTTCTACTTCTCACATGTTGAACACAAATACCTGTACTTTCTACTTCTTACATTTTGAACCCAAATACCTGTACTTTCTACTTCTCTCATGTTGAACTCAAATACCTGTACTTTCTACTTCTTACATGTTGAACTCAAATACCTGTACTTTCTACTTCTCTCATGTTGAACTCAAATACCTGTACTTTCTACTTCTCTCATGTTGAACTCAAATACCTGTACTTTCTACTTCTCACATGTTGAACTCAAATACCTGTACTTTCTACTTCTCACATGTTGAACTCAAATACCTGTATTTTCTACTTCTCAAATGTTGAACTCAAATACCTGTACTTTCTACTTCTCACATGTTGAACTCAAATACCTGTACTTTCTACTTCTCAAATGTTGAACTCAAATACCTGTACTTTCTACTTCTCAAATGTTGAACTCAAATACCTGTACTTTCTACTTCTCTCATGTTGAACTCAAATACCTGTACTTTCTACTTCTCTCATGTTGAACTCAAATACCTGTACTTTCTACTTCTTACATGTTGAACTCAAATACCTGTACTTTCTACTTCTCTCATTTCCCAAACAGCTGGTTCCTTTAGTCTGAATGTGTGTTTGATGCGTGATCATTATTCTTTAGAGTCATTGCGTGCCTATTGATTTGAACACGATCCGTGTATCCATCATTTCCTGGTCTTCTCTAAAGAAGAGGGACCAATGGAAACGTTGTCATGTTGCCGTTGTTCAGCATGGAAACATTCATTAGCTAACAATGA